AGTGTTTATTCTTGAAAAATTATACCTCGATAAAACTGTTAAAAAATGAACAGCTCCTGCAACAACAAAGGTGAATCCTATAAACATAATTTTGAGTTTAAAAGCTAGCAAATCACAAAAGAATACCTGTGGTATGATCCCATTTATATAAAATATAAAAAGAGGCAAAGTTAAAACCTACTGTTTAAGGGTGCCTATGTTGATGGCAGAACGATTAAGAAAAGCAAGGAAGTAATCACCATAAAAGTCAAGATAATGGTTACCTTTGCAGGTAAGAGAGGGACGTGACCAGGAATGTCAAAGGGGAGGGGAATGCTTCTAGGCTAGTTGGCAATGTTCTGTTTTTCACATGTAAAGAAAATAGCAAATTCACAAGATGAGGTAGTGTGTCACCACCAAAACGAGTATCTCCACTGCATGGATCCTGTCCAGTGGGGAAGAAGAGCAGACAGGGAAGCAAGCCAGGGACCAAAAACAAGATGGATCCACTGGGGTTGGGCCAGGGGCAGGAATGTGATGGACACCCTAGGGCTGGGCTCACCTCAAGTAGCCAGCTTATGGCCCCCCAACTTATTCCAGCCCCCACCAGCTGACGCCACCTAGGGCCATGTCCCTTTGTGTAAAGACTGGGTTTCTGCTGTTAAGAGGGTTCCTCTCCGTCCTTTGACTTCTCCATCATTTAGAGCAGCAGTCCCCAACCTTTTGGGCACCAGGGACCAGTTTCCTGGAAGACAGTTTTTCCACGGCAGGGCAGCAGGTGTGAGGAAGGTAGGCGGAGCTCAGGCGGAGATGCAAGGCCAGTTCCTAGCTGCAGACTGGCAGTTGGGTCTGCAGGTTTAGAGAACCATGAACTCATTTAATGGTCCTCTAACGGATGGAAAGAGTCACTAATTCCACTAGGTGAGAGGAGGACACAGTGAGCCCTTTTCCCCTGGCCAGAGGCTGTTTCCTCCCTAGAGTCAGCTTGGGTCTGATTTTTCTCTTCCTTGGGCCCTCGCCTGTCGGACTGCCTCTGCTCTGGTATGTCTAACCCGGAGCCCCATAGTCCTGACTGTCTGCTCCCAGAGAAGGGCCCTGGCCAGCACACACAGGCCATCAGAACCAAACCGAGTTGCTAATCACGCAGCTTATAAAGCCAGGGCTTTAAAGCAGCTCTGTTTATACAGCATGGAGTCACGGTGCATTCTCAGGAATCCACAGCCCCTCTCCTGGCTGAGATAGCCCAGGCTCTCACTGGCGTGCTGGTCTGCCTGGGACTACCTGGGTGCCAGCTGTTTGCTTTCTTGAAAACAAAGTATAAACAGTGTCTCTCTCCTCTTCACCCAGCCTATCTGGTGGGGGGGGGAGGTGGTAAGGAAGCAACTCAAGTTTCCCAAGGAGCAGGACTTAGTTTATGTGAATGGTGCCCCCTGGAGTTGTGCAATGCACAAACTGCACAGTTGTACGTAACTGTTCTGCTATGAGCAAGCAGGGGAAAACAGGAAGGAAACTACCATTTAAAGGGCTTTAATATCTTCTGGTGGTTTTCATAAAAGTATTACCCAATTTTGCCAGTAAGAAAACTGATTCAGAGAAGTGACATGACTAGCAGCGTCATACAGCTGTAGTGATGGGCTTCAAACCTTAGTGACCATTACAATTAAATAAAATGGTCAGTTTGAAACATTCTCCTATATGGACACTTTCTTTCTCTAGCAGCCTCAGAACTCACCCGTCTTAAAGAGGGGAAACAAATCCTCCTGCCTGTGTCTATATCTGTCCTTCGTCAGGCCCCCAATTCCTCCTTTGCAACCTGTGCCCACTGCTTCTACTTCTTCCAGGCCCATTCTGTTGTTAGCACTTGACCTCCACCTGCTCTTGGTCTTGTTCTCTCCCAGGCCACCTGCTGTGGCCATGTCCCCTGGGCACCCTTTTCAGTCCTTAACCTTCCCATTTTCTTGGGAGCATACAGCCCTGTTGTACACCCTTATTTCTGGAATTTGCTTCCTTGGCTCCCAGGACACTAGGCAACCATTCATACATGTATCTGTTAATAATCTATTAATATCCATGGAAGGTCTGTACATGCCAGTACTGGGCCAGGCATCCCAGCAAAACAAGATGGGCTGTCTGTGCTCAAAGAGCTTATAGCCCAAGTCAGAGGCAGATGTTACCCAAATAAGCACAGAAAGCCTTAGCAACATGGCAAGACCTCACTTCTACAAAAATCATCTGGGCATGGTGGCTTACACCTGTAGTCTCAGCTACTCAGGAGCCTGAGGCAGGAGGATTGCTTGAGCCCAGGAGTTTGAGGTTGCAATGAGTTATGATCACACCATTGCACTCTAGCCTGGGCAATGGAAGACCCTGTCTCAAAAAAAAAAAAAAAGAAGAAGAAAAAGAAGACACAAGTCAGTGCTTTAGAACTGCATTGAGTGCTATGAAAAAAAAGTATGAGGGCTTTGAGAACATAAAACAGGGCACCCTTGCCCAGGATGAGTATCAGTAAGGCTTCACCAAGGAGCTGGTGCTTTGAGCTGAGGTCTGCAGGAGGAGCTGGAGTCAGATATTTGGGAAGAGCAATCTAGATGTTGCAACAGCACAGGCAGAGGACAAGCTCAGCCCGTGGGGACGTGGCAAAAGGCAGACAGAATGGCCAGTGCATGGTGAAGCAGGAGTGTGGCCTGAAGTGAGACTGGAAAGGTAGGCCAGGTCAGGTTACACCTTACAAAGCCATGACTTGGGATTTTGGATCTTCTCTTGAGTGAAATGGCTTGTATAGCCATACAAGCTGGGAGCTGTACAACTCCAAAAGGCACTGTTTATGTCGTGGTCTGTGGTAATGGTGCCCTGGAAATGCGAATGATGAGCCCTGGAGTCGTGCAGTGCACATCCTGCACAGCCATACCTGGAGGTCTGATAGTCTGGCTACAGTAGGTAGCATGGATTGGACAGGGCATTCAGGGCCTGCTGCAGAGGCCCCAGGGCCACTTTACCTTCTCTTTTACACTCACTCCCTTGTTGAGCTCACCTTTGTCCTTCTCTGCCTTTCTAGCAATTCCTCCCTGGAGTAACTTCCTAATGTTTGACTCACATGGAATTTATGCAACACTGAACACCAAGCAGTCGGGGTAGGACAGGAATTAGCCCAGAGGACAGAGGACTTGGCAGGAGGTGATCCAGGTTGGGACGCAGGGCTTAGCCACTGGCCAGGGCCTGGGTAGAGGAGCTCCAGCTTGTCTGGGAGTCCCCGGAAGTCCCTGGTCTATCAGCAAAAGAGCTGGACACTGAGTCTGGGCCCAGCCAGGGCAGAGCAGCATCAGTCTACAACCAGGGTAAGGCCTGGGAGGGAGCGGGCACGAGGGGACTCTGGGGTAGGAGGAGCCTCAGGAGGTTCCCCGAGCATACCGCACTATGGCAGCTCCAGCTGCAAGCGTCCCAAGACCAGCACGTGGGAGTCATGGCCCTGCCTGGCCATGAAGGACCCCTGTTGCTGGTGACCAGGGCGTTTCTGGAGTCCCGACTCCTTTCACAGTCCCTTCTTTCCCAATGGCATGGGATAACTTCTCCCACCTTTGAATCCCAGAGCCTAATCACCTCCCTCGTCTGACCTCCTACAGTTATGTGTTTTAAATTATTTTTATTGTAAAAGAAATCACATATAGAGACAGACGCATAGAACAAATGTGCAGGTTAATGCACTGTTACCAAGCAAGTGCCACCACCCAGGGCAAGGAGAAGAGGATGCCAGCTCCCAAGGGCTCCCTCCGGCTTGCCCTGCACCCTTTTTGAACATAATTCTCTCCCTCCTCCCTAAGGTAACCACTGTCCTGGCTTTTATAGTCCTCAGCAATTTGCCCTTTTTTCAGTCTTAACTTTTCCTTCTAATCTTATTACTTAAGCATGCACTCCTAAATGACAGCTCCTTTTTTTGTTTGTTTGCTTTTTGTTTTTTGTTTTCTCCACTCCAGTTCTTCAAAGGATGGCTCTCTAAGAGTGACTGCAGAGGGACAAGAGCAGAGAGGGGTCTTTCTAGGGGAAGCAGAGGGTGGAGGAGCCAGACAGGGTTAGTGGAACAGCCAGAGAAGGCAGTCACCATGGACTGGAGGGAGGACAGGCTAAACAAAATCTGTCAGTGGGTCACACACAGCCTGGCAGCTGCCAGTGTCCAGCCGCTAGCCTATAAAATCGTGCGAGCTCTGTACTTTGGAATTCAAGACCTTACAGGAGTCAGTCCTCATACCTCAACCTCTCCAGCTGTACTAGTCTGTTTGCAATTCTCCAAAATGGCTGGTTTTGCTAAGAGACAATAAACCTTCCACCTGGGATTCTTTGCCCATTTCTTTGCCCGGCAAGCTCCTGTTACTGTGTCATAGTTCAGGTATCAGCTTCTTCTCTAGGAAGGAAAGAAGGAAGGAAATGGTTGCGTAGAAGCTGAGGAACCTATAGTGGAACTCTCAGGAAACATATTCCAGCCCCCAGCTAAAGCTTTAGTGCCTCAAACCCATCTGCCTTGCTGTGCTCTTCATCTGAAGCTATCTGTCCCCTGATGACACGTATTTCCTAAGTACTCCCTTCTCTGCCAGGCGGACTCCTGTGCCCTCGAGGGGTCCTCCCTCATTGAGGGAGAGGCAGCTTGAGTCCTAATTCAGCCCCTCATCCCCCATGCATGGTGGGCCCTGTAGCGGTGGCTGGAGACAGTGGAGGAAGGGCCCAGGGACAGGTGAGACGAGAGTCAAGGCCAGCGCCCCCCTCACCTAGAGATGCTGTGTGGAGGGTTAGGCCTATGTACTCCAGGGTCTGCCCTGGGCGCCTGCACCTCCCCCTCACTGCGTCTTGCTCTGAATTCTCGCTGCCCACTCTGCTCATGAGTCAGCGCCCCCCAGCCCCTGCTGGCCATGAGTCAACCCAGAACACGCTGGGCACATGGGGATGGAAGGTGGATGGAAGGGAACGATGGCTGCCAACCTTGGAACACATGGCCCCATGGAAGCAATGGGTGTTTTCTGTTTTCTACGCAGACATCGTCAACTGCGACCTGAAATCCACACTGCGAGTGCTGTACAACCTCTTCACCAAGTACCGGAACGTGGAGTGAGGGGCTGCCCGGAAGTTCTTGCTGTTGGCAGACTGTACCACCCTCCGAACTGCCTTAACCTGCTTACTCCTGTCTCTTGCTCTGTGCCCTCCCACAAGTCCAGCTACCACCCAGAGAGACTGGGAATTGAAACTAGGAAGGAAGGAAATGATCACCAACTCAGCGAGCTGAACCACACCTCCCAGATCCTGGGCACTAACCCGGAAGTAAAACCTGGGAAGGTTGTCCCCATCCTGGCGCCAGGTCCAGATCTCTGTGTTTTGGGAACCAGCTTAGGCAAAAGAGAGTCCCCAGAAGATGAAAATAAAGATCACAGTTCCCATATAATAACGGGTGTAAACTACGTGCCAGGCACCATATTAAGTGCTCTAATGTACTCAAGCTCATCAAGCCATGGCACCCTTGGAAGTAGGCGTTATAATCCCTTTACAGATGAGGAAATTAAGGCTCAGACTTAAGTGACTTGCCAGAAGTTGGCATTTTTTCCCTCTTTGAACAACATATTTACTAATAACTAGCTAATTACATCACATTCTTTGCACATTCGAAAGTTGTGTGTACGTGCGTGCCGGTGCATGTGCAAGTACACAGCTGAGTCTGAAAAGACAGGAACCCACTGGTCTCACCACTGGGGCAGGCTAGGTCAGGGCGCGGTGATTCACACTGAAATTGGCAAATTGAATTTGACCCAGTTAATAATGTGAGTGTGTGGCAGAGTCATGTCCCTCAAATCCTTTGTACAAATGAAAATTACTTTTAATTCCTTCAGATTTATAATAACCTCATACTCTGGTTCCAGGGTGACATTTGGAAAGGATTCTGTTTAGAATTAATGGAGTGGCACATTTTGCAGCCTTTTTGCTTGATTGCATGTAATGGAAATGCCCTATATTTTCCTGCAAAATAAGTACTAAATTCATTATCGTTAAGCAAATGTACAATATACTCAGGCACCGCAGGGAGCTGGGCACGAGCCCACATGAGCATCACTTGGGAAGTAGGGCTCTTCAACAGGGACCCTTGAACTTTAAAGAAAAGAACTCCTTTTTGCCTTCTAATTGATCATTTAGACTATTCTGGCTAAGTCTGCCCACATGCAATTACCGGCTAATTCAGGCGAGGAAAAATGTAAGTCATTTAGACCAAAGCCGAACGGTTTCCTTGCGTGGGTTACTCAAGGGCTTGTGGTTACTTGTATCTCTTCTATGTGAACCTGACTTTGAACTACAGAACTCTGGTGTGCCAGGGTGCTGAGTCCTGAAGGAATAGAAAAGGAGGGAGGGGTGACTCCAGGGATGAAAATCATGGGGGAAATATTTGCACATTCACCATATGGGGACAGAGGCAGCGCTGGCGGTACTTAACATGAGTACCCTTCAATTGGCCAAGGCCTTGGGATAAACAACTTGTACTAATACTATATCTTCTTTATAGGACTTTCATAACTATGCCAGATAGACGCCAGCCTGCGTATCACCCTGCACAAGTCTGTGACTACCTTGTCACTACTTTAAGCCCATTGCACAAAGTGCATCTCTGGTTTGAGGGATTCATTTTGATCTGTATCTACACCACCCAAAGTTAGACCTCCCATAGTATCCAAAACATTCCTGTCAGTATTCTCATCATTTCTTACTAGACTATCTGCAGTAACTCAGAACCCATAAAATTTAGATACACTACATATTTCTTTGGATACTTTGCTCTTAGAATTGTTACTCAGCATAATAAGCATTTAAGATACAAAGGCAATGTACTGTCTTGTGTCAATTTATGTAAAAGAATTCAATTCTTTTTTATATAATTAGTGAAATATTATATTTTTCCCCTTAGGAAACACTAAATAATGTGATATTTCTGTTGCTCTCCTTTAAATTCCTGGTAGCAACTCAAGATGAACAATTGCTTTGTTTCCTTGAGCAGTGCTAAAGCAGGACGAACTAGGAGGAATGCATTCATTTAAACATGCTTTGCTATACAGATTTTGTCTCTCTTTTGTCTGTTTTTCTTATATTCAAGCTGCAAATGTACAAGTGTCCTTAGTAAGAGCGCTCTTTTTTGTATTTTACACATACACTGTAGGAAAGCACATCAGAACACTAGGAAAGTTTTTAAATAACAAGTCTAACTTATCAGAAAATTGTGTTTGGGAACTGAGGTCTTTTCCTCAGCCCAGAATCCCACAGCCTGCACCTGGCTTTATGACCATCATCTCATGTAGGCATCTTCCTTTAAATTCTGGAATCTCCTACTTAATATACAACCATGGTTTTGCAGGGGGAGGAAGGCATCAGAACAGTAAATAAACCAAACTTAACCCTCATCTCTTTAAAAAAGAAACTGAGATGAGAATCAAGTCTATAGGCTCACTGGGTACTTTTTTTTTCCTTTTCTCATTTCTAAATTTAAATTCACCGATATTTTTAATAGTTAATATGTAAATGGTACAACATTCAAAAAGCACGAAAAACCCAAGTCTCCCTCCTCCCCTCTCCGGCAGCCATCACCCCTCCCCCGAAGCAACTGTTTTGATCGTTTCTTAGGCACCACTTCCAGAGCTGCTCCAGGCATGTAAAGAACAAACATACATATAAAATCTTGGGGTTTTTAAAAATATAAATAGCATATTATACACACTTAATGTTATATCTTGGAGATTGTTTTATACTGGATATTAAAAGAAATCCTTTCACAATTTAAAATGAGGATCTGAGCACTTTGTAAGTCCAGATGCACAGCTCCTGTCTGCCCGCGCTAGAGAGGAGAGCACCACTCGAAGGACGGAAAGCTGCCCGAGCCGTGATTTCAAGAGCAGAGACCAAGCCCCGTGGAGTCAGGGCGGAAGCTGGGGCGTGTTACCAGAGGCATCCTCCTGTGCTTTGAAATGAATTTATTTTTTTAAAGCTCTCTTTTGGAACGTTTTGGTTAATTGTATGCAGTTTGATTCAGGTTTCATTTTTACGCATTACTAGGGCTACTAATTTATAATCTACTAAGAAAGCATTAGAAAGGTCCCCTACAACATTGTGCTGTGAGGTTTAGCTGCCAGCAATGCAGTGCTCATCCACTGGATTAAAAGGCTCCAATTTCACATGTGCAGGTACAGAGCTGACATTTCCAAAGCCTGGGAGAAGGTTTCTGCATCAGCACATCATCAGTGCTGCCTTCAGTTGGTTGCAATTTTCGACTGCCGCTATTGGTACTTTTTAATTATGAATTACTGTTAGCTTAGCTTTATCATTATCAGTTGATTTTGTTGTGGGTTGCTTGGTTAACCCTACAGAGTATGCTGAAGCTTATTTGCATCAACAGAATTCTGGGGCTGTAATTTTCCAATAACTACAATCTAAGACATGTATACATTGTGGTTCAAATATGAATCATCCATATTCCAGTGTTCCAGCAAATGTATACATAATCCACTCTCCCCAAATTATCACTAATCTATTTTTCCACTGGAAAATAAAACTAGATGGAGTCCATAGGTCAAGCAGTTTTACCCTGAGTGGGGGATGATCAAAAATAATTTGAGATCCACTGCCTTGAATACAGCCCCACCTCAGGAATCCTACCTACACAGTACATCCTAGATATGCAAGAGAGTATGTCCTGAAATCGTCACTAATTCCAATATTGCATGTAGTCCCTCCCCCCCATAAAATTTGCTTAGGTCTACTGGAAAATTTAAGAGCATTTCTGCACATGCTGAGAACAGGAACATGAAGATGCAAGGCTGCGTGATAGGCGGACTCGCCACTGCCTAAAAGACCTACCACACACCAGCTTCTCAAAGTATTTGCAGATTCAGGTCTCACCAAAAGACAAGTTGGAATGAGTTGCTCCCAGTCACAACTACAGAGGTTATATCTATAAATACCAAGTTTCTACTGTTTTTACTCTCTGGTCCCTGAAAAATATAAGCCCAGTATAGCTCCAAATTTGCTTATACTCCCTGCTTTACTGCAGTGGTGGTCGCATGTGCAAATATGTGCATATGTGTCATGTGCACGACAACAGCAATGCAACCTGATGGTGCTCGGTTCAGGAAGAACAGCCTCCGAAGCATGCCTGAGGATCTTGTGAATTTCAGGCTTCCGAGTTGGGAAGCTGCCAGTGTAGTGTCTCTTAAAGTACATTCTACAGGATATTAACAGTTGCAAGGTGAAAAAATGTTTCCCAAACCTATTTGAATGTGACATGAGGCTAAGAAAAGTAGACTAGCTTACTTAGGCTTTGTTTTTGTTTTTTGTTTTCTAATCAAACCCCATCTCAGAGTCTCCTATGCTAACAAACATCATGACTCTTTAAGGGAAGACAGAATACAATGGTTTCCAACGCTGTTTGATCACAGAACCTATTTGCCCCTGAGAAGTTCCTAGGACAAGCACTCCCTGGAACATCCATTTAGCCATATGTTCAGCAAGTATGTGTTGAGTGCAGCATGTCTAGAGTGAGTGAGCATTCACAGTCTAGTAGGGAGACATGAAAATAATAACAAATCAGTGTTAATTACAAATTGCGATGGCCACTGTGGAGGAGCAGCACTAAAAGCCCAGCAAAGAGGTCGAGAGAGGGCCCTGGCAAAGTGACGTATTAAGTGATGCCTGGATCATGGGGCTACTCAAATGAGAAGCCCACGGGGGCACAGCTTGGAGGAGAACCCCGAGACGGCAGAAGACGGGCTTCCCTGGAGAAGCTGGCAGAAGCCAGGATGGCAAGAGTGCAAAGAGTGAGGGGGCAGAGGAGGCATCAGGTCGCAGGTATTAGAAGAGTGCAGATTTTCATCGTAAGAAATACAGTAAGCGGATGTGGGGGGGGAGAAGTAGAGTAAGCAGTTTATCTGTAAATTTTTCCTACTGTAGGAAAGCTCTGGGGAAAGCTATGTTATCCACATAGAGGCCTGGGACTGCCATGGTCCCAGAGGAGGAGAGCAAGCTCTGGCCACCCCTACCTCCAGTCTGGTCTCAACTACTAGGCAGTGAGTGCATCATTCCACCTGTCCCGAGGCTGCTGAAAGGGCAGGAGCTCCTAGATTAATCCCAACCTCTCCACTTTTGTCCCCTGAGAGGAGCTAAGGGAAGCAGACAGATCAGATGAGGGTGCACGTGTGAAGGAAAGGAAAGGAGAGGCCAGGCCAGGAAGCTGACCCACGGGGGCAGTGCGTTTCCAACGTTCTCACCACAGAGGGGGACTCCAGTTTTATCCCCTGTGGATCTCATGGGGGTAGGGTGGGCAAGGGAGAGTTGTCATCCAGCCTGCGTTTGGGACAAGGTCTAAGCCTCCTGGATGCTGAACCATAATTTCATTTTCCAAAGTCAGTAATCAACATAAATTATCATAGCTATAATGCTTACCACATTATATAAAGCCCACCAAAAGGGGATTATGCCTTTCAAAACATCTTTCATTGGAAGTTATATTATTTTCATTGGGAATTTTGAAATTCCAGAAATATCCTTGGAAATCCCCACTTAAAAGCATTTTGGTTGGAAACCAGTCCAGTGGGTGACTGGCCCAGAATTCTTCTTGGTGGCTGCGTGGCCTGAGCAGCGAGTATTCTTCCCTCCACTCCCCTGAACCTTCTGCACGTACGTGGGGGCTAGCTTGGATGCTGGCACTTGAAAGGGCATTTAGGAAATTTGGAGAAGCCCCAATGATTAAGATAAATGATGTTTTATCAATGAAACGGACTTTTCATTTCTTTTCATCGATTTTCATGTTTTCACATCTTCAGATGCAATTTGTTAGCCCAGGGCAGCATTCCAAGACACACAAACGTCATTAAGGCAACTGCTTTAAAGAGTGTGATATTTTATTGAGGTGGACAGGACAATAGATAAATATTTAATCTGTTACACATTTGCAGTGTGTGGGAGCCAGGGTTGGGGCTGCAGGCCTCTCTGGCTGTGATCGTCTTCCTGGAAACCCCGACAATGGGCTCACCACCGCCTGCAGAGAACACAGCGCCCGCCCTTGGCAAATATCTGTCGGCGTTTCTGAAAAGCAGCTCCTGGAAGCTTTTTGTCACTCAGGCTTCAGAGGTTACCACATCTTTCCTTATTTGTTATGATATCGGAGAATGTAAACTCACACTGATCCAGGGCCACTTGGTGTAAACTAATGGACGAGATGGTGAGCGGTAAGCGTGCACTCCGCTAGGCTACCTACCAGATGCCAAGGACTCCTCTCCTCTCTGCACTGAGTGCTCTGATGGATGCGGTGCACTTGGGGGCAGTGGCATTCTCTCTGCCTCTCCCAAGCTGTGCTTTCTGCATTGTTGGTCCTCCCAGCTAACTCCCGCAGTGTCCTGCTATCCCACGTTGGAACTGTGTGTTGTCCAGACCCATCGCCAAAGTCGTCATTGCCTGGGAGACCAAGCTCACCACCAATGACTCTAATCAGGGCTTTTGCCAGATTGCTTTAGTTCACAAAATTTGTCCATCCACGCGTCTTCATTTATAGGTTAAACGGCTTTCTGCCCTGCGTGCCTTTGGTGTGACATGTCAATAAGACACAGAGCTTCTCTCCTGTTCTTTCCAGAATTTCAGTCCCCACAGGAAGTATTCTCATCAGTGGTGGCGTGGGCCTGCCCTAGCACTGATCACGTGGGACGCCAAACACCAAGGGACAAGAAGAATTCTGTCTCCTGCTTGAGTTGGGCCCTTCACATGATCAGAACACAACCAACTCAGGGAATACTTGTGCAATGCCTGTTCTGTGTTCAGCCCCATCCTGTGTGCAAAAGGGGATCAGAAAGTCCAGGGTCCCTTCCCAAATGCTTCTTCCATCTGAATGAGGAAGACAGAGGCAGCTCATTTAAAATAATTCAGTGACAGGATGAGATGGTGCCGGACACCACTGAAGGTTCCTCTTTAGAGTCTCCCAGAAAACCCCCCACCCCAGCTGCCATGTAATCTTTGGGACCGTCTCTCTCCCTCCTCGCTCCCTCCAGAATCAGCAACTTCATTTTCCATACAGATTTGCTGCTACAAAAATCACACAACTCACCCCTAAAGCCAAAGGGAGATTTAGGGTCATTTTTCTCAAGTCTTACTTGTTGCTGGGGAATCACTGTGTTTATGCCACAGATTCCAAATAACCTGCCATCACCCAAAGTCCAGCCTGGGCTCCACTGCCAAGCGTTTCAACCCTGCTTTCGCACTCAGAGCTTCCCTGCCTCTCTAAACCCACCGTTCGGTCGCTCCTGCTGGGTGGCTTCTCTACTCTTGGTTCCCCAGCATGGAACTGCTGCTGAAAATCCCTGAATGGACACACACCAGCCAACTTGTTTCCCATCCTTCAGTTGACACTGGGTGCTCCAGGCTTTGAGAGTCCTCTGTCATTCTCAAGGACTGCCGTCATCTCCCCAAACACCCTGGCCCTACCTAGGCCCATATCCCCACTCCCACTTTCTCCCCTGATGTCTTCATCTCTTCCTTCAACAAGAAAATCAAAGCCGCCTGCTTCATGTTCTTTCCACGGCATGGAAATATCGCTCCTCACCTCGTCCTGCCTCGATCGCAAGGCTGCCCCTTCCTCCATCTGCCTCCTCCGGGTCCACTCCCTCCTCCTCCTGCAGAGTCGAGCTTCCCTCCTCCCTCCCCAGCATCTTGGCTCTCACGCCAAACACATGCAGACAAACATTGCCCTGTTGCATTTTTTCCCTTAAGACACTCTCCTGGAGTATCGGATCTATGCTAATTCAATTTTGTTGCTTTCTCCTTTATGAACCCCTAAAATCTGCCTCTGGCTTTCCAGAAGCTGAAGTTGCCCCCTGTGCGGTCCTCTCTGAACCTGTTAGGCTGGGCCTGGCTGCATTTCCCTCCTCCGCGGCACTTAGCCTCGCTGGATGGACATCCCCCTCCTCCGGGAACTCAACTGTCAAGGCTGCAGGGACACAGCGCTAATCCACAGCACTAGCACCCTTTGTCTGCTGCTCTGTATGCTCTAGGTGGGGGGCCTGTCCCCAGCCCCCAAATGTGCGTGCCCTCCGGAAGTGCTCTCCATACTCCTGACCCCTCTCCTGGCTTCTACTCCTGTGGCCCTCCCTCTGGCCCCTGCACCTCACCCGTCCAGAGGGCATCTCCAGCTTCACCACATCTCCCGAATGGGCTACCCCAAGTCTCCCTTGGCACACCCCAAACTGGATGTTTATCCTCCCCCATCTCTGCTCCTTTAAATATCCCTTGTCTCTTTCAGAAGTGCCATCTCCCTCCCAGACCCACAAGGGAGTTCCGAATCTTCTGCTCCCCCTGACACATCCCATCAGTTCCACTGATGGCTTCTCCGTGAGCCATCTGTTTTGCACCGATCCCCTCCTCTGCAGACCCCAAACTGTTCCCCTTATCTAGGCCTCATCCTCCCATGCCTGGATATTGCAAAGACCTCCCAACTAGTTTCTCTTTGGGCTAATCCATCCTGCATGTATTCCCTGCCAAAACTTCATGAAACAGCTCAGATAATTTCCCACCCCTCTCAAATAATACTCACGGTGGTGCTTACAGAGCCCTTATGGTGTGCACTGTACACAAATAATCTCCTTTAGTCCTTCCAACAAGTCCTATGAGGTAGGTCCTATTATCACCCCCATGCTGCAGGTGAAAAAGCTGAAGGCACAGAGAGACAGAGTGACTTGACCCAGGTTACATGCGTCAGAGATGACCGAGCTGGGCTTCGAGCCCCGGCCGCATGGCTCCAGAGTGTAGATTTTAACCATTTGAACACGGTACGTCTTCTTCAGAACCTTTAGTGGTTTCTACTGTCCACAAACCAGAATCCCTTTGCCTGCTCAAGGCCTCTAGAACCCAGCTCCAGCCTCCCTAACCAGTCGCTGCCTGCATCCAGACAGACCCGACCATTCCAGGGAGAACCTTTGTTTGCTGCCACCAGCTGTTCTCCCATGCCCGGTTTTCAAACGGAATTTCTGAAACAACCAGGCTTCAAACTAAAAAGACTGTCATTAATTCATTTATTCTTCATTCATTCAGTAAATACTTAAACATCACCTATGCGGCCAGATGCCGTGCTAGGCATGGGAGAACAGCGCAGTGAACAAAACAGACGTGTTCCCGGCACACGCGCTCACGCTCCAGTGACTTCTAAGCCTTGTTACTTTCCCCCAACCCCAACTCAGAGCCCACATGGGACCTGCTACATCTCCTCCTAGGCTTTAGCTTGGTCCTGACCCTCTCTCCACCCGCAACCCCTGCTAGGATCCCGCTCATCCGACCCTTTGGTTGTGTCACGTGAAACCTGCATCCTGCTAAAGCTACAGGTGTCGCAAGAGGGACAGGTGCTCCCTCTCTAAGATAAGCTCCAAGCCCCTTTTTGCTCAGGAGTTCATGATTCAGTGACGCTCTCCAGTGGCTAAGACTTTAGACAAAGTCTCGTGGGACTCCAGCTCTGTGCCAGGCACAGCGTTGGTTCTTAGACATTGCAGTGACCCATCAGGTAAGTGCTAACCTACCTGTTGTGCAGAAGGGAAAAGAGAGGTGCAGGAAGTTCTCCAGCAGAGACTCAAGCCCAGCTCTGCTGACTCAGAAGCCTTCATTCCTTAACAATAGAACTTTCCTAGGGCTCTTGAGCAACTGTCTGCCCGTGAACCTCTACCTCCCCCGCCCCCACATCAGGGGGCTGGTTCCTGAGTCTGCAGCTAGGAACGTTAGTGGACCCAGAGACGAGGAACTGAAAAAACAAGGTGACACCAATCCTGACTCATCATCTACTAGAACCCAGAGCACTGCCTAGGAGCACACAGTTCCACTGGCCTGTGCCCATGGGTGAATAGACTCCACCAAAAGTCTCTGCTTCCTCTGTTCATGACTCAGGTTTACTCACACTGGCCACTATGGAAAATGTTGTTTAGATAAAGATGTGGCCTCAGTGCATGTTTATAATAACTATGAGGTCATATTACAAAATGGAATTCCAGGAGATACAAGAAAGCAAGTCACACGCAGCAACAATCTTCTCCTGTCTGATTTTCCCAATGTGAAAATCTGGAGTCAAGTTCATTGCTGGAAACTGGACTCAGGCTAAAACCAGGAAAGGCAGCACAAGCACATTTTAGAGGAACAGCCAGAACCCCTGAAAACTCTGACTTAGAGGCAAAGGGCTTATGTTCAAGCCTGGTACTTGCTAGCTGTGTGATATTGGGCAAGTCACGTCACCTCTCTGAGCCTCTTTGTCTGTACTGAGGATGTGAGGGGGGCTTGTCACTTGTTCAGTACTGACTTTAGCTCTGCTTGCCTGATTCAAAAAGCGTCTCCCTCCCACCTCTGCCCTTTAAGACCTCCTGAAGCTGTGGTCTAACTGTGACAGTAACAACCTCAGACAGGAGAGGACACTCTATAACCCAGTGCTTGTCAAGAGGACCAAGTGAGAGTGTGACTATAGGCACTCTGTGAAAGTGAAAGCTCTACAGGGATACAAATTCTTAATGCTATTGTTATTTCTGCAAGCATTAGACCGGCGTTGGCAAACAGCAGCGTGCTTACTCTGCTCCCCACATACCTGTGGCAGACATCACTAATCAACCCAGCACTCTCCCCCCGCTTTTGCTAGTGATGTCTTCAGTGGAACGGGAGGGAAGCAGGAATATTACAAGGAAAGCTGTTTGCTACTGCAGCCCTGTACAAATTTTATAGCATAGGATGCCAATATGAGTCTCCAAATAAGTGCCTAATGTCCAACCCGTGACAAGTTAGTCATGACTGGGGATATGGCATGTCACCCAAAGGACCACCAGGATGGCTAAAAAGTAGAAAGGAGAATTTTATTGGTGATATCGGTTTGCAAACTAGGAAGAGATGGTCTCCGGCATGAACCAAAGCTGCTCTCTCCCCAAAGGAAAGGAGAGGTTGGTCTACACGGCGCTTCGCTTTTCCCGCTTCGACCTTCTTCCTACTCGCAGACTGGTTGCTGCTGATTTCAAATAGAGCTTGAAGGATAAATCTGCAAATTTGCTTCAACCAAACTTGGCAACAAAATGGAAGAAATAAAACACACAGTGAGAAAGTGAAGTTGAAATTTCCAACAAAGGTGAAGTTGAAATTTCTAATGAGCAAGTATTTCAGCTTTACCCTGAATTCGACAGACAGCAGCATGAGTTTGTTAAAGGTTTAGTGTATCGTTATGAACCCAAAAAGGTTACAGACCTGGGATGTGGTGATGCTTCACTCTTAAGGCAGTTGAAAAGAATGTCGTGTATTGAATTACTTGTTGGAGTAGATATCAAGGAGGAGCAGTTACGCAGGAATGGGTATTATCTGCGACCCTGCTACACACAAAGTTTGTTCCCCCAAGAGCTGGAATTGACTATTATATTGTATCAAGGGTCTGGTGTGGAGAGAGACTCTCGTTTGCTTGGATTCGACATGATAACGTGCATTGAATTAATACAAGATTTGAATCCAGATGATCTGGCCAAATTTCCTGAAGTGGTATTTGGGTACCTGTCTCCATCCATGGTCATCATCAGCACACCAAACTCTGACTTCAATCCCATATATGGAGTAATGAGCGTGAGAGTACCCTGTCATAAATTCGAGTGGAGGAGGAAGGAATTCCAGAGTTGGGCTTTACGCGTGGCAGAGACCTATAGTGGAGTCTACTGGTGTGGGAGAACCACCAGCCGGAGCTGAGAGTGTTGGATTCTGTACCCAGATGGCATCTTTCGGAAAAACGGGGCAAAGGCAGCCGAGTCGTGTGTTTCAGAGCAGCGTGAACAGCATGTTTATAAACCTGTTGTTACAATCTCATTCCCGAGTCTGCAGCAGGAAAAATACTTTAAGACCACGGTGGTTAGTGAAATGAGCCCGGAGATGAGCCCGGAGCTATCCTTATATCCTGAAGTTCAGGATCTGTGATATTTGGGCTCAGATTTTCGTTTGAACTTCTTATGTAGTTGTAGTTCAAGTAATGTTTTTAAAGTTTTAGTATGCGTGTCCAAGTTTAAAGCTGGTGGACAAATCTTGGCTTACAGAGTGCTATAAGCCCTGAGAAAGATACGAGGGTTCAACAAGGGTGTGCTTTTTACTGAAACTGGACATTTTCTTTGATTTTTTTCAAGAATAAAGTAATTGGATACAAAAAAAAAAAAGGAAAGGAGAGGTTGACTTTTACGCCTCACACAGTCTGTGTTACGTAAGAGAGTCATACATATTCAGCAGGTTTGGGGAAAATCTGTACGTATTTATGAGAGGAGTCAAGCACATGTGCGTTGGGTAAACATATGTAACGTACATCCCATGTTCACTTTGGGGTGGGGCTTTAGCATTAAAACGAAGTCAAATTAGGCTCATTATATCAAAAGGTGAACTATAAGGCACAAAGACAATTTGTGTGCAGTCTATAAGCTGGCTGAAACTGGCTCAGAGTTTACAGTTGTTTATCAGGCAAGAACGTTTGTAAGGCTAGTCCTTTGTCCAGTCAGAGTTTTAGTCATAAATCAGAGAGCTGGGTCATAAATCAGAGTTAGGGAGGGTCTAACATTTTGCCTGATAGCTCCTACTGTTAGGGAGTTTAGCAAGAGTGTGGTTTATCTCGTAGCCATAGGAATTTTAGGGAATTGCCAGACCAGCCAAGTACTGAGCCCTGGCCTGTAGGCAATTTTTGTTTACTTAACCTTAGGGTCCATCTTAGTTGATAAAGTGGCATCTATTTTGGTCTCTCATATCACAAGCAGGAGATAGCGTCTATAAAAAGATAGGAGCTACCATTCCAACTATATATTTAGAGAGAAGGAAACATCTATTATTAATAGAAGGCAGCATGTTGACCTGCTCAAGGAGAACTGCTGTTAGCCTCTAGAAAAGCACTTCCCTAGGTTCTTGGGGAGTACCAAGCCCATGTTAGAGAGGAGCAGATGAGCCTAGAGAGGTTAAGTGGCGTGGCCAAGAAGACCTTCTAGAAAGGCGTAGAACTGTCCGACTCTATCTTTCATGCTTCCTACCTTTGGACAGACAGGCATGGATTTCAAATTACCCAGCCAACCACACAGAGGCCCATGGATCCCTGCAGCCAAGAGGCCACCCTGAAATGTGGGGCCTGGGAGCCCTTGGCTGGGTTCTAAGAGCTGAGATGTAATCACAATGAAATCCAGAAGGCTCTTTGGAGAAGCCTGCAGTTTGGGAACAGTCCTGCTAAGTCATAGATGCTTCGAATTCCTCAGCTTTTGCTTTCAGAATTTCTGGCAGCTCCAGGCAGTAGACGAGTATTCATGGACAGACACTATTTCTCCTGGGCTGGGGAAGGCCAGGCCAGGCCAACAGAAGACTAAGGAGCCAACAGACTGAGTCTCTGCTCTGGAAAGGTCTGGAGGCAGGATTCCCCTGAGGGCCAGGGCACTCACTCCTCCCTCCCTCTCTCCTCCCCACCCCCAGCTGCCTCCCACAGCGCCATGGGCCACTGGGGAAGGACCCTACTGAGCCTAAGTCTCCAAGTCACCATGCCTTCCCCTGGGACCCAGTGGCTGGTCAATGTGGACACAGAGGCCACTTGCTTTCTTCCATCTGGACATGGCTGAGGGGAAGATGATCTCTGAGATGCTCCCTCCAGCCCCCACTGCACATGGCGGTTTAGCGTCTCTCTCTGCATGCTCACTCCCCAGTAAGCCGCCTGCTCACAAACCTTCCCCTCACAGCCTGCTTCCCAGGCACTGGAGCTGGGGCCCCTTGACAAGAAAGGGAAGTGAGAATCCCAAGGCTGGATCCTCAGAGCACTCAGAAATCATCCGCTCCAGCCCCGCAACTGCCCGGGTGGAAGAGTTTGCCCAGGGCCACAGAGCCGGCTGGCAGCAAGGCTGGAGCCTGGGGTGGGGGCTGGGACCCCCCTTGCCCTCCATTTCTGTGGGATGATATTAACATGGCTGACAAGTCTGCATACCTTCTTGTGAGTGAGCATTTTCCCTAATCTTCACAACACTGTGAGGTCGGTGTAACTAATGTCATTTTTTACAGATGACAAAACAGCCTCCAGGAAGTTATACATGAGCTGCTTGAGGTGGCACAGCCTGGAAGTGGCAGAGGTGAGATCCAGCCCAGGTCTGTAAGACTCCCAAGCCTGGGTTCTTCGTTCTATGCCACACTTCCTCTGGATCTTTCGGAATAAGAGGGTCTTTGGATTGTAATGACATATGCTAGACCTGCTTGGGTCCCATCCCTGCCAGCTCTGGGTAAGACCTCCCAGGGAGGCCCACTGTGGAGGCGGCACACACTCCCAGGCCCCCGCCAGCCCTGGCCCCAGTGGCCCATGCATAGAGTCGCTCCTTTTGCAGACCAAGTTCCTGCTCATTCCACAGGGCAGCCCTCCCTGCCAGGCTGCATTCCAACCCAGGGATGCCAGAGGTTTAGAGTCAGAATTTAAACCAAATGCCCTGCTGCTCCCTAGGGATGTCCCAAAAGATGAAAAAAATGTGTCACATTCATGCTGTATGTACTAGGTTCAGAATTGTTGCAACCAAGGCATGGCTCATTAAAGAGGTAGTAGGATCCTTCCAGAATGATGTAGTTGGGGGAGACTTGAGTATAAAAAGCCTCATGACATACCAGCCAGGAGAGTGAAGGCCAGCCTTACCTCTGCACAGGTGAGAAAGGGGACAAGCAGGAAACCAGGAGGGCAGGCCCACTGAACCCCAGGGGCCATGCACTCTCTGTATGTACCACACCCCAGACACTGTGCACCTCAGCTAACGAGGCCTCTACCTGCAGGCTCCACCTCCTCCAGTCCTTGAGCTCTCTCGTGGACCCTCAGTGTCCCACTGACATTTTACTCAGGCCCAGGAGCTGAGGCCTGAGAGGCCATGGAACTAAGCAGCAGTCCCCCGCCATTCCCCAGCACACCTGAGACTCTGCCCCATCATCTCCTTGCCTGGCACTCCTGCTTCCCAAAGGAACTGTCACTCATCATGAGTCCAGCCTGCCTGGCCAAGGTTCTCACATCAAGCCCCACCCTTGGCTCCCTTCTCCAGGGGTCGGGAATGGGAAGGTGTCAGTATTTGTGCTCTAAAATCTGGCCACTGGTGTGGTCATCCTCAAATGGATGGAGCTCCCAGAACAGAGCCCCTGTTGGGGACAGCAGAGATCTGGGGATCAGCAGCCTGACCACAGAGGGTGGTCAGAGGGGCTGTGTGCCACACGGCTCCTGGAGCTCAGGTGATGTTTGCAGGGGGCGGACCTGGGGAAGAGACAATCCCATAGGCAGATGTGGTGTCCAATATATAACATCAGGCAGGGGCAGAGGCAGAGGGTGTTCTGGCTATCTGTCCAGCTAGCAATCAGGAGCTCGGCAGATTCAAAGCTTTAGAGAAGTCCCTGCAGTTCAGGGCTGAGCCCCAGGCCAGGAAAGGCCTCAAGGGCTGGGTTCTCACCCCTGTGCTAAAAGACTGCATCTGTGCCAGGAGCGACAGCCCTGGAAAAGGTAAAGCCATCCAGGACAAACAGGGAGCCATCTTGACCCAAGAATGTTCAGAAATTCAGTAGCATGTGCCTGAGAGGAGCCAAGAGTAAGCAGCCCCAAAGAGGCGGTCCGGGGTGGGCAATGGTGGGCCCCAGAGACGCACCAGGACACAGAGTATAAAGACGCTCAGGCTTGGAGAGGATCTGGAGCAGAAGGACACAGGGTTCAGACTGAAGCATCCAGGCCAAAGAGCAGAGCTAGCCCCAGGTAGCACCGTGAGGCCATCATCAAATGAAGAATTCTGAGTTTCAAGCCCCAGGGGAGGGGAACTGGGTGACTTTTGAAGTCCCTTTCAGCTCTCAGAGCCTAAGATTCTCAATAAATACGATCATTAGAAAGAAGGCCCAAGCAGGACCCCCTGGATGGAAGAAAGAAGTTTGGCGAAGCTCAGTAGATCCATTCAAGTTTAAATGACCACGATGATTGGAACCAACTTCCTTAGGAGATAGTGGGGAATGTTGAAAAGGAATGGTTAAAAGACTCAGATTCAAATTCTGGCTTTGCCACTTATTAACTGTG